AGCCACGACATGGGTGCAGGGAATAGGGCTCCTCTCCATGATGCTAGAGCCATATAGGAAGCCCAGGGTTTGGGTGCTGGGTCAACTTGAACATGCCTGTTATCCTGGCTGGCTAGAAGGTTGGGTGTGGATTGTGGCATGGTGAGATCTTGTCAGGGATTCCTGGTGTGTGTGTGTGTGTGTGTGTGTGTCTTTTTGTCAATAAATAAATAATTTTTTAAAGGAAGAGAAGGGTTTGCAGTGGGGCCATTCCCCCTGGGGGTGATTACTCTCTTTCTCTTTCTCCAGCAAGTACAAACACCATATAGCAAAACAAAGCGGGGGAGGTGCGAATAGTGGTACAGCAGTAAAACATGATGATCCACAGAGCTGACCCACATAGGAGGGTTCTGGGTTTGTGACCAGAGGTCCCCCGAATACACAGGGCACACACAGCCAGGATCCAGCTCTGGCTGAGATGGGGGTGGATCTTGGCACCGAAACCCTACTGAGAGTGCTTGCTTTCTCATACAAGTGATGGGTAAATAAACTTTTTTAAAAAGACACTCTTTATACCTTAACTTCCTACAATTTTCACGTCAATTATATCTCAATAAAGCTGGGAAGGCAGAAAAAGACTGCTTCCTCCCCCTAAATTGCTTTGCTCCTTTCTACTCCAAACCCACCATCTTTCCCTGACTGTTTCCACCCACAAAAATTGCTCCTTCTCTTAACTCCTTATGCTTAGAAACAACCTCATTTAGTACATAATTATATCCTTCCTTTATTTACTCACGTCCTGGTGTGTTCGTCTCACCAACCAATTTGTAAATTCATTAAGTGCAGAGACTGTGTCTCTATTCAATGCTGTGTTCACATTAGGCTGACTCATTCATTCACTCACCAGACATTTCAGCGACCTCTCTGTTCCAGACATTTCCCTACCTACTGAGACATAGAAGCCAAGGCGGCAAAATTAAACAACTGTTCCAGACATTTCCCTACCTACTGAGACACAGAAGCAAAGGTGGCAAAATTAAATATGGTCCCTGCTTTCACGGTGGGAAGACAGAAGATCAAAACTAAATCAAAGTGAAATTACACCAGAGAAAAACATTATGAAGACTTCTCAACAATTGAAAATATAATTACTGGACCAGCAGGGGGCACAGAGGTTAAGGCAGCTGGATCTCACAGGACTGACCCCCTGGTTTGAGTGCCGGACCTGACAGATTGACAAACACACTGGGCACATATGCATACACGTCCAACACCCCAAAAGGAGAAGTGGTAGAGAAGGGATTGTGGCATGGCCATCCCCCTGAGGGGAGCTTTCTCACTTTTCCTCTCTTTCTCTCTGTCTGTCTATCTCTCTCTGGCGAGTGTATATACTCTCTAGCAAATTATAAAATACTACTACTAATAATTTTAGGGCTGGCTAGATGGCACAGCAGTGACCAGTTACTCAAACACTGCTAGAGCCATGTGGGAGATGGTGAATTAACTGGTACTTGCTGGCTCCATGTGCCAGTGATCCAGACAAGCTGGGATGGGTGGCAGAGGGACATGCAGCAAGAGACCCTATTGAGGGTACTTGTCTTTCTCTGTCTCTCTGATTCTCACTTTAAAGAAAGAAATTAACATGTAGTATCCTCATACCCGCCACACGGGTGCCCAAGATCTGGGCTGGTTGAAGTTGGGGGAGATTGAATGTGAAGACCCTGTTGGGGATGCCTGTCTCTCTCTTTTCCTCTCTTCCCAGTGCTCTCACTCATGGAAGAACAAAAGAAATGAACTTTTGGGGCCAGCCAATGGCACAATGGTTAAGGCAGCTGTGTTAATGGCCAACTACACAGTTCAAGTCCCAGACTCAGCAGCTTAAAGAACATGCCTACTGTGTGTGCATGCGTGCCCAAAATCCTGAGAGGAGAATGGAGGAGAAAGTGTGGCAAAGGCTTAAAAAAGAAAAAAAAGGGATGAATTCTGAAAATAGAAAAAAGACATAAAGTTACTGAATCTTACCTCTTTGAAATTAGTAACAGGTATTGAGGTACAATGTATTATTGGACAGATGTTTGTTTTATAAACGGGGAAATCAGTAACAGAATTAGTAACAGAGCTAAGTAGAGGTACACTGTATTATTGTGTGGATGTTCATTTTATAAACCCATGAATGCCATTCCCCACTGACAGCAGGTAGGGTCCACTTGCCCCTCTGTAATCTACGACACTGTATGTTCACTAGGGCTCTGTACGAGGCTAGATTCCAGATGTTCTGTTGATAAGATGGAGTCATTTCTTTGTTTGAAGTGAACTTTTTTACGTTGGTAGAAGACCCATTTCTACTCTTTCTAATACTTTCTAAGATATTCGCTGCCTTGAGTGTTCCGTTTTAGTACTCAGTCCTTACAATTGTATTCAATTGTGGCTTCTCTCTCTGTCAATTAGTAAACCACCTAGGAAGGGCTGGGATTAAACGCTAAGCCTCCTGATTCTGTCTACCATAATGTTCTGTCTTGTCCTAAGGAGACGTGTAGAAGTTTCCTGGGGACCAGACAATGGTGCAGCAGTAAAACTCAATGCTCTGCGACTCCAAACCACACGGTAAGGTTCCAGGTTCACGTCCAGAGAACTCCCTGACTATGCTGGGCAGGAACACACGCTTGAGCTGACTGAGTGGGGTGGGGCGGGGGGTGGCAGTGGCATCAGGACCTTGTCAAGGATGCCTGTCTGTCTGCTCATGAAAGAAAAAAAAAGTTGCCTCACTCCTGAAAAGCTGACAACTTTTTCTTTAAAGAGTTACGTATTTATTTATTTTTAATTTGACCAGAGTGAGAAAGGGAAAGTGAAAAAGCAAGCCACCGGGTCCAGAACTCAAACCACAGTTGGCCATGTGGGAGTTCAGTGCCTCAACCACCACACCACCTGCTGGCCTGCTTGCACCTTTTTTTTTTTTTAAAGACTTTTGCGATAGGTTGCATGCGCTCACACACCAGAGAGACAGAGAGATAGAAAGCAAGAAATCACACACACACACAGACACACATACACACACACACACACCCCTCCTCAGGGAGGATGGCCATGCCGTAATTCATTCATTCTCTTCCATTCTCCCCTCAGGATTTGGGGCATGCACACACATGCGCCCAGCATGAGTTTTAAGCTACTGTGTCCGGGACTCGAATCCTGTTCAACTACTTGGGAGTCCAGCAATGTAACCGTTAACGCCATCTGCTGATCCCTTCTTGCAACCTTTTAATAACTTTGTGATAAAAGATAGGATGATGTCCTGGAAAACATGGCCAATAGCTCTCGTGGTCTGGAAAAAACCTATGTTTGAAACCTGCTTATATCAACTGAGATGCTTTCATTTACAAATAGCAGAAACAGTAAGCTGAATCCTTAAAAATAACAAGTACAGGGCCAGCAAGTGATGTGGTTAAGGCGCTGGACTCCCACATAGCCAAGTGCAGTTTGAGTCCCAGACCTGGTGGCTTGCAAACCATACTGCGCATGTGTATATTCCCAAAATCCCAGGAGTAGAAGGATGGAGAAGGGACTGCCATCCCCCCAGAAGATTTCTCACTTTCCCTCTTTCTGTCTCTCTGTCTCTCTCTAGTAAGCACACACACCCTACAGCAAAATAAAATAAAATAAAATAAAATAAAATAAAATAACAAGTACAATTATTATCATTCTTCACGATAAGAAATTCTGAGGTAGGCAGACTCTGAATGGCCGGGTAACCCAGTGACTCGATGATATTGGGTCTATCTTTCCACCCAAAGCCAAGCACTATGAACAGAAACAAGGTCCTAAAGAAGGAAAAACTATTGACTTCCTGAGCCTACTTTGCTTTGGTTTAGGTTTAGGTTTTTTAATTTGTACAATAGTCTTATCGTCAGTACATACTGAACGGCTCCCGTAAGAATTACACGAGCCCTATGCAGAGCAGTGGGCTGGTGTAGACACGCGGTGTGCAAGGGCCGAATGAGGTCCGTCCTCTTAGGGGACGTCAATGAAATGAGTAGAGATTCTCCTACCTGGGCTTCAGATCTGACACCACCGTTTGCCAGCTGAGTGACCTTGGATAAACTTACACAATATTTCTAGACCCTTTTCTTCATCGTGGCATCAAGATAACATCAGCACCTATTTCAAGGATTTGGGAGCCAGCAACAAAACAGTGGGTGGAAAACACCCAGCACTTTGAGTCTAGTACCTGGGGAGTGCTTCCCAAATATGAGCCGTTTGTTTTTATGATGATGATAAAAGCAGGAGACCACAAAGGGCCGTAATTGGTAAGACAGGGAAACTGGGCCCTGAAGACGCATTTGGAAGGGAGTAGGGGTCTTTCAAGCATACCGAGTGCAGGCCTGTGTTTTGGTGCCATACAAAGAGGGTAAGGTGAGACCAGAAGTTGGCAAGGCTTCATTGCCCGGGAGAGACGAAGCCTGTGAAACAGGGGTGAACCTGGAAGGCATCTGCTACAATCCCGCCAAGGCTCTGGACTTGGATTCGCTCAAAGGCTCAGGCCAGGCCAGTCTCCGTGAAGAAGCGCAGGGCTGGCTGCCTGTGGCTTGACTTGCCTGCCAGGCACCACAGGTGGCGGTGTGCATGCAGCAGAGAGCGCCAGAGGCGGGCGTGGCAGCCAGC